AAACGAGTCTTTCAACGATGGGCGCATCCGTAGCTTGAACCTCGCGTATACGGGTCCGTTTTATGTATACATATAAAACGCATTAAATGCAACTGCGTATAGGCGCACGTACGCGCGTGTGCCATATACATAACTACATTTCGGTCAATTTAACCATTTTTTGCTACAGAGAGACCAGGGCGGGACCCGCTAAGTTTACAGCAGCTTCCCCAAAAGCTCATTTTAGTCTCTTCCGCAACAGCGTCTCTCTCTCTCTCTCGCTTCTTTTCGCAGCAAACACTTTCTTGCGACCATTAGTTATACACCCGGACGTATCCTCCTCTCATCTCGCCTGGGCCTTTGTTTAGGGCCTCGGTTGCCGCCGTTGCCGCCGCAGCAGTGCCGCAACGCGTCGATCATCTCATCATCATCTTCCTTTTGGTTTTTCTTGTTCTAAAGTCGATTGAAATTAAGCACGCGCGCGCCCCTCTCTGCTCGAGAGAATAAGTCGATCGAAGTATTATACATTATGTAGAAGAGGAGATGGCCGTAGTAGACGCGACGATGATAATGCAGCAGCAGCAGCAGCAGCATAGCAGCAGCCGGGGCCAAAAGTGGTGACGGATCGTTATGTGCTCGAAGGCGTTCGCTCGACGCGTCCTTGCTTTTTCTCCTGGACGCGTGCATATATGCACAACGAAACACTCGACGCGGTGTGTATAAGGATCATTAATCTTCCCGCGCGATACTTTTTGTTTAATAATTTCACACCCGTATACAGGTTCGCGTGCAGTGTAGACGATCAGCCGCCCCGGCACTGCTTTGCTCCTTTAATGTGTACAAAACGCCGCTCGAGCTACCGGCTACGTGCTTTCGAGCATCTCGAACTTCACGTATGACTTTTCGATTTAAAATTATACTATCCAGAGGTCGAATTGTAAAGTTTGATATTATCATTAGAAGAAAAAATGGACCTTAATTCAGCCCGCTCGCAAGGTTAAATTTTCACTTTGCATGTCAAACGCACATTCGTAATTTTATACCGACCGATCTATAAAAGCATCATCGACGTTTGTACGTACGGGAGATCATAATATGCCGCCCGCGTCCAAGAGCGTAATCTACATAATCAATAAGACTCGTTATTCAATGATCGCGCGGGATCGCGAGTGATGGCATCGGCATTCGTGCGGCAGGACACGCAACGCACGCAGAGAAAGAGAGAGAGACTCACGATGCAGGACATGCGATGATACTCGAGCTTCATCGCACGTGAATTGTAAAGCCGCGGATCCGCATCGATTAATATACTTTCTTATATGAGAAGCATCCAGAGATCGTATTATGCATTGTCCGACTTCGATAATTACGCCCCGACCGCCTGCCGATGTCTATTAAAGCGAGACGAGAGTCGTGAGCTTTTTAGGCGTTATTATTGTTCACGATCTAGCCTATGTGTGTGTGTGTGTGTGTGTGTGTGTGTGTGTGTGTGTGTGCTATATATTTTTGCTATATGTGCCATATTGATGCAAAAATATAATAAGTAAACTTGTTTCGATAGGTATCCGATCCATATTATTCTTATTGCTTCGCAAAAATCGGTGTGTTTTCACATCTAAACTTTCAAAACTAATTTGCATAATACGATTCAAACTTTATCGTCGAATATCGAGTTCTTAAATTGATTAATTGATTTCGAACATCAAAGTCTCGACGATCGAGCCATTAATACAAATAAATCATTGCGAATCCCAGCCGATATAATTGGCCCACTCCGCGTGGCATGGCTTTATCGTACTACGGCCCATGATGATGCACAATATACAATACAACTCTGAATGCACACACATACGCATTTATAAATATTCCATTTGAATTGAAAACGTATATAGTTATGAGCCGATCCACGGCAGCAGCGACTCGCAGTCCAATTTCCACTTCAAAAGCTGAACAAGCAATTAGGATTCAAGCTCGTCGAGAATGCAATATATGATAATTTCTCACGATTGTTTTTTTTTTACCTCCATCCGCGGAAATGCATGGCATAAATAATTCGCCCACAGCAGCTCTTTCGCTTCGTTATTCAATTGAAAAAGATGTGAAAAGTCAAGAGTTCTCTTGGCACCACTAATTAATAGATTTTTTCAATGCTACTCCTGCTACTGATGTTCGGAGGCTCGAGCGTATGTGTGTGTGTGCGCGCACTGCGCTAGACAACCACTTGAATGCTTCATTTATCATTTTTAATATTTTCACTTTTGTATACGCTGGCGGCTCGGCGTTGTTTATACATGTTTATCCTTATCGCAGCCGAGAGTCTCGAGTCAGCTTCTGAGATTAACATCGAACGATGTTGGGATATACATATGAAAAAAGAAAGAAGATTATTTTTAATTATGTGAATTGATACGCGGTGAGATAATTAGCTTACTAATATACAAGAGCGTGCGCTTAGGTTCAACTCTTTTCCATATGCAATAGGCTTTTAATACCTGTTGAATAATTGTGTCTCGAGCGTTTGGTAATGAGAGCTTCGCGCTGCTACCGCCAGCAGAGAATGCCGTTGTCTGAAGCCGCGCGCATATCCGAAAAAGATTCGTGTACGAGATAAATTTTATAAATGCCGATTTCTCGCTGAAGCATTTGAAATACCGTCACAGCTCGTAAATATATTCGCGGTTCGGCTGTTGCGCACCTGACGAAATTTACCTCACACTTTGACTAATTACCATTTGACCGTCTCTCATCCCAACCCTCTTCATCGCGGCGATCGTTGCACAACGTCGTGAATGCATAATTCAATTTTTACGACTTCTTCGACGTTTTTTGACGTTCTCTCTCTCTCTCTCTCTGCGCGCGCGTTACGCATGCCAAATCAATTTTCGCTCGCGCCCGTGTGTGGTTTGTCGTGCGTGCGTAAGTATAGGTGCGAGTCGATGCTAAATTCATAGTGCACTAGCGCAGGCAGCCACAGCACACGGCACAGAAGCGCAGTGTGCAGGCACCAATGCGCACGCGGAGCCCCTTAAAAACAGTAAAAAGGATTTAAGCACGTAGATACGGAAACCTTTTTAATATTTATCGTCGATCGTTTTCTGCTTGGCTGCCTCTGCGTCGCAGCCAAGCAGACCATTAGCGATTCGTCGAGCAAACGCGCGCAGTTTCCCTGAAAAATATTAGAATACGCACATACACACACATACTTGTGTGTGCACACGCGACACTGTGAGCGGATTGTGCTGCTGCAGCGCGGGCTGATTGGTATCTGCGCGTGTGGCACATTATATTTCATTGGGAGGTGCCGGTCTGTTCGCACCTCGTATACATACACACACACACGAACACTAGGACGCCGAGACGCGAAACGGAATACCAGATGTAGCTGAGAAAGTCTCGCGAGTGCAGCACAGCGCTATAACACATCGGAAGGACAACGGCACGACGAAGGCGAGAGTAAAAGAGGAAAGAAAGAGAGAAAGAGAAACGAGTATCTGCATGTGTGTGTGTATCGTTTTGGTTTTATCGGCTTTGTCGATCTTTGCACCTCGCGCTCGCCCAAAGGTGAGAGAGCACAAGATTCCCGACGCGTGCTCGATCCTCTCCGCAATCATACACATATCGAATCGAGCTTGTGTGTTGCTGATGCTGCTGCTATAAGCGACTGCATATAAGCATCGTATGTGCATATATCATGTATAGACATTACATACGTACGCGTATAATACGGGAAACCGCGCCTCATTTCTCACATGCATACACACCATTTCGATACAGGTAGGCGCATAATGCGAAAACGCGTTGAAATTCTTTATTTCGGATACTTCCGGGCCCCGCGTTGTGCGTTGGTAATTATATTGTTTCAAACCAGTGTTTAGGCTTGGCACGTTGAGAATAATAATTTTTTTCACGATTCCTCGTGCACACTTTAACATTTCATCGAATGCCAATGGTAATGACATGGCTCTTTCTCTCTCTTTCCCTCGATGCGCTTAATTTATGCAGCGATTCGCGCGCATTACCCTCGCCGCGCTCACTGATGACGCTGCAGCAAACGGCAAGAATTCGCAGCTGTGCAAAGAATCGCAGAAATTGAAAATAGCGCGGGTAATTTTTTGTCCCGTCCGTGTGTGAGTGTGCTGCGCTGCGCTTCAGGCCCGTGACTACACAACTCGCTCCACAATACATGCATATAATAATGTAAAAATCGAGAGAGAGAAAGAGGAAAAAAAAATTGTATATAATGCTCGGCGACGGCGGCGGTGGTGGTATACGATGTGTATGTGTTATAATAGCTCGAGGCGGCCGCGCGTGTGCACCAGCTCTAACAGGAAACATGGCCTAATGCTTTGATGTGCCTTGTCCACTGCTGCTGCTGCTGCTGCTGCCGAGGGATAATTCGTTCACCTTACTCCAAATTGTGTGCCTCCGCCACGTAAGACGTGTTGCTCGTCCTCCTTCTTCTTCCCTTTTTTTTTGTTTTTTTTTTTTTCTACCTTCGAGCCAAAATCGCACGTGGCACAGATGAATTATGATGTCGGTATTAGTACTGATGCACATAACATACAGCTATACTGGCCCATTAGGTGCGTCAAGTCAACGTTCTTTATTAAATTTTTCTTTTTTGTAAAATAATAATATCAAGTATGTAGAAAATTATTTTTCAATTTTCATTTTTCCTTAAACTTCTTTTCATCGTCCATTCACTCTAAAGCTTTCATCTAATAGGTGTATTTGGAAACGAAAAAAGTGTACTAGAGCTCGTCATTATCGATGAAAGGGCGCTCCTACATTCATACGAATTTCGTGTTTTTTCTTTTTTTTTTCGGGCAATCATCATCCCACACCTTATTCCAGGCGAAATTTAAACAATTTTACTTCTTTCTCGAGAAATCATGAATTATTCGAGACATTATGTGCATTCTCGAATACCAGTTCACTACCTTTGTCAATTATATAATCAAAAAAATTCTCACCAATACTTCGAAATTCATCTTATTTTTATTTTTATGTTTCTTTTGCAGATGCGTGCGAGCCGATGACAGATCGAACTTATGGTAAGTCATCCACAAATCAAGTTTATTCAATTGTGTTTCTATATTTTCAAGTACCATTTTATACTGACTTTGCAATGCATGTATTTTCCTTTCCTAAAAATGCTTAAATATGTTTACGGTTTTTCCAAGTTTCTTCGTTGAAAAGTTTGAGTCGTACGACGACGTACCACAAGATATATCGCGTAATCGATGTTCTCGTCGCGTTTCGAAAAGCAAAAAGTGCATCTCACCCGCGAAGATATGTGTGTATACGTGGCGGCATTTCGTGGCGCAGGTAGAAAATTTTTCACGACTCGATATAAAAAGATTAGAGACGCTCAAATTGTCTCTCGCTCTCTTTCTCTTTCATGCTGTATATATAATAATACAACGAGCCCGGGTGTCGGGTGTCACTTTGTGCGCGCATGGGAGATCACAAATGACCGTCCGCATCGCGGAGTATAGTTACAGATGCGGATGGCGAACTCTCGCGCGAGCTGCCTGGCAAAAAAGTGTGAATTCCTCTCGGCGAGCAGCTACTGCACTTGTTTCAGCTGCGAGATATCTTTGTGCCAGGATTATATGAAGTGCGAGAGAGAGAGAGAGAGAGAGAGACGGACGTGAATTATTGCGAAACGTTTTATGCATTGCATAGGTGCGCTGCCATTATAGTACGTGCGCTGTGTGATAAGTTTTTGTCGCGCGCATACAGAGCACTTCGCATCGCGCGAAGCAAACTCGGCATTGGCGAGAATTCGGGATTTAATAACGACGCGTGAATTTAATTTTCTCGAAAGCTACATTTTTCTAAAATTACATCGATATCGCATGAATCAACTCCATTAGACAGCGCGAGAAAAATAATACGACGAAAATCCATCAGGAGCTATACACGACTGGTGGTACACACGTACAAATGAATTAAATTTTATACATTAATACCATGCTCGCAGGTGTGCGTGTGTGTGTGACAGCATTTGTTAAGGGCGAGCAGAGAAATTTTGCAGACTCTCGATCTCTTTTTGAGACACCCGCAGTCACATAATTGCACCTTCTAGTATTTGCAGGTGCTGCTGCTGTGTTTCGTCGCCATAAAATATTATACGATCGCACTCTTGATAGCTATGAAAAAAGTCTAATTGTTAAAATTATAAAAAGATATTCATTTTTATTATGGTAAATCCATTCAACTTGGTGAACGCGGAATCGGGCGTAACACATGTCAAACGAAAAGTAATACATATAAATGCGTCCGTATACAACTTCATCATTTCGAACACCCAACATCCAAGAGTTGCTTTAAAATAAACAGCCTCGAAGCACTACAGAGAGAGAGAGAGAGAGGCTCGGCCTGCGCTATATCGAATCAACAGGTTTCTTACATGTAAAAGAGTGTAAAACGTTTGGAAAGCAGTGGTATATAGAAAAGAAGAGCACACACCCCACATAGGCGCATAGAGCAGTAGTGACTCGTACACGCGCGCGAATCTTTTAGCCGTTATATAGGGGTGGAGATCTGAAGCGAGCCGAGCAAAAAGCTCGCAAAACCCTCACCCACACCCACTACCATACTCGGCACGATCGCGCGTGCGAGAAGACGTTACATACGTAAAAAAGTCCAAGTCTCTCTGCTCTCTGTATATATATAGCGACGAAAGATGTATCGTTCGTCCGGGGGATCTCTGTATACAGCGCACAGACACACACAGGCACACGGACGTCAAAGCTCGAGCCGTATGGATATATATACGCGCGGGGAAAGTCAAGTCCACCCTTGGCCCGAACACGCCCGCGCACAACACGCGTTTTATATATTCCCTCTTCTGTATAGCGCCGGGTTGCGGAGGAGCGTGAAGAGACAGACGATTAGGACTTTGGGCGTATATAGCGCCTTATAGCTTCTCTCGCTCTCGCTCTTGTATTATATCCGGGATCCCCCATGGAAAACTTAAAATAACATCGTTCCATAATTCGGCTTGCCGTCACCGCCGACAGTCCTTTACCTTAGATATACACGCTGCGCTACAGGCTGGTGGAAAACGTGTATTCTCCCGCTGTAATGCGTACGCCGCTTTTGCGGGCGAAGATAGAGAGAGAGAGAGAGAAAGAGTGAGATTCTGTCCCGTCATCGAGCGATTTGCACGGCCATTCTTTGGCCGGCATATACCGCGCTTGATATAGATTGATGTACTCGCCGAATCGCGCGCGAATGTGTATTATACGCACGCATTTACCAAAGGGGGAAATTTCAACGATAAAGCGGATTCTTTGATAAGGCGGAAAAATTGAGCAGTTATGCCGTGTATACTTCCTGACTACGCGGCTGTATGTGTCTAAAATTGATCCTACACAGAGCGAGCTATACAGATTGCACAGAGAGCTTGAACACAATCGGCATCGAGAATGGAAAAGTCTCGATTAATAAACACACGCGCGGAGCTGTCTCTCGCGCACCTGACCTCGCAGACCAACTGCAGAAATGCACGCGTTTCGGACTCGAGTATATATATAGCCGTACATACACACCCGAGCACGCAGGTATAAATATAGAAGTTGAGCACCCCTTTGACAGTGCTCATTACAGCTGTGTCCCGCCCTCTGCTGCGCACAAGCAGCATCGCAGTGCAACAACAGCAGCAGCGGTGTACGGGTAATCAGCAGAGGCACTTGACTTTCTTTCGATAGCTATATATACGTACATGTATGCTCGCTTGCTTACTGCATGCAGCAGCAGCAGCTACAACTCGAGGGTGGGAGCGAGCTGAAAGAGAGAGAGAGAGAGCCCAGTGGAGGCGGTAGCTGACCTCGCCCGGGGCCTTTGCTTTTCGTCCTTTGTCTCTATCTCTTCTTCTTTCCTCTACCTCCAGTATCCTTACGTTATTTCTTCTTCGTTTTTTTTTTACTTCGTCTTTCACTTCTCTCGTTCATTTTTGCCTTCGTGCGTGCACACATACACACATGCATTCGTTCGTATATGCAAGTTTTGTTTTCATTTATTTATTTATTTTTATTTTTTCAATTTTTTGTTACCTCCTGCGTGAGTATTCATACATATAATACGCTGCATACGTGCAATAGGGGCAGTACGAGAGAGGGAGGGAAAGAAAAAGAGCACTAATTTAACTACCTAGCGCATGCACACGCGCTCGCTTATTTACAATGTAAGCCGCGTCAGCGCTCGGCCAAGGTTTTGTTCTGGATTAACGCCGATTTAAAACATGTGTGTGTGTGTATGAGCTCTACATGACCACGCTGATGAATTTACAATGACAGGAGGATATCGTTTTTTGCCGCAGCTGCATCATGCGCGCGCAGCTCTCTCGTATAAATGTAGCTTTTTGCGTGTGTGTGTGTGTATATAGGCCGATGCATAATTATGTACGTGATAGAGAGAACTCGCGCGAGCATCCGGTTTACAGGTGTATTCGCTTTTGCGATTCGTCCCCATCCGTACATATCTGCTTTTAGAGATGGAAGTAAAACTCTTTATCAATTTGAATGATTATTTTAGAGACTTGAATCAATTGAGTTGACTAAAGAATATTGATGCTTTGACGTTATTATTTATTTAATTTTTATCATTATACATGAAGCAATTTTTATATGATATGGGAGATCAAATTTTTCAATCAATTTATAATATTAATAACTATTGTAGTACCCGAGCAAGTATTTAGATAAGAAAATATGTACTTGAAAAAATCTAAAATTGAATGTGGAAGCACACAATAAAATTAAAAAAAAAGGTATTATGGATGATTAATTTTACTTACGCTACCTTTAAATGAAGTCTTCGTTGAAAATTAATGAATCAGTATTGCATGAAAGTGCATTTTGTGATATAGGTCATTTTTAAAACAAAACTAAATCAAAAAGATTTGACTCGGTTTCAACAGAAACAGAAGAGAACTGCTTTGAACATTTTGATTGAAAATTAACGTTTAAATAATGATTTAATTGCTCAAAAAATGTGTGAGATTTCTAACACTAGATGACGAGTATCTTTGACTGTAAATCCGCAAGAGGCAAAGTCAAAATAATTGTTCAAGTCTAGACAAAAAGCAGCTGATGAAAAGAAACGTTGTTGACGTTATTTACATCACGATCTAATGCGAAAGTTCTCGCCAAAATACGCGTTGCATTTAAAAAGCTTGTGTCGTTGCGCACGCGCCTCATGGAACGCGGTGTGCGAAGATGAAAAAGCTACTGCTGCTACTGCTCAGCGCTCACGATAACTGTTTCTGCGTTATAGGATGGCAAAAAAGCGCCGAGCGCGGCCCTTGTGCATACGGAATCCAGTCGTCCTCGCGGCTGTCATTCGCGCTGCGATTTCGTCAAGCTGCGTGCACTACCACAAGCTCGTATGTTGTCACTGCCGGGCACAATATTGTGCGTGTATCGCACACGAGATTTCCCATCAACATCCTCGAGAGCCTCTCTCTCTCTCTCTCTCGTCTTCTCCTGGCTCGACCACGATTCTCGGAAAATGCCATAAATTCTTTTTTTTTTAATCCCCCTCATTGCCGAGCCACGAGCAGCTATGGTATAAAAGATAGCTATTCCCTTTCCGTTACGTTATGGTAACGCTACAGATAGTACACGTATAATATATAGAGCCTAACCCGTTCCAACTCTTGATCCGAGGCAACGTATTATACATTGCGCTATGCGTTCGCGAGACATACGTTACATGCGTGTAGCATACATCAACTCGTACTAGAAAAAGCTTTAACGCCGCTGCTGCTGCGCAGTCCATCGTATGGCTCGGCTATTTCTCTCGCGGATTCTCCGGCGACTACTGCGAGAGACTAGGGGGATTCCAGCAGCTCATTAGGAAAATTTGTCCGTTGTCGTCGTCGATCGCGTAAATAGCCTCTAGGCTTTCGCTTTACTATGTGCTGCTGCACAGAGCTCGAATTGTACGGTTACCTTTTTCTACGAGCAGCTATACGGTGATCGCATATACGCTCAAGTTCGTGTCTCGAGCAACGAGACGCGACTCGTCGTCTTATTTTTACGTT